TCTTTCTTTCTGACACCTTTTCCATGAAATGTAGGTGGTGCTTTATGTCAAGGAAGAAATGAAGAGGAATGATCTTCCAGAAACAGCAGTTATTGGACTTCTGTGGACCTGTATAATGAATGCCGTTGAATGGAACAAGAAGGAAGAACTCGTTGCAGAGCAGGCTCTCAAGCACCTGAAGGTAAAGGGTCTTAGTAAGGAACTGTCCCAGCTGCAGCTCTTTAGAGTATGACAAATGGGTTCCAACTGCATTTCCCCCAGACTCAGACTAAACATATACTTGATAAGTTTTTCTTTTCAAATTTGCCACTGCCTGAAAAGTTTCAGATGTAAGAGCCTATGAAATATCTAAGGGTAAGTTCTTATTTAAAACAATATTAGAAAATCTACAGAATCATCACATACAGTCTTAAAAAGAACTATGGTCTAACTATTGGCTTTCTTTTTGTTCTATATGACAAAAATTCTTATTGAATATTTTTGTTTAAGTGAACCATGTTAGAATTTGAGAAGTATCTGAGTGGTGGAAGAAATCAGCTGATTGTGTAAATTATATATTTTTGTGCCTCAATACATGTGGTTTTGCTTTTATTAATTGTCTTCTCCCTATAAAACTATGTTAAGACAAGTGGAAGACTTAGATCCTGCCTTCAGAATTTGCACTGAGTTGGGAAGTCAAAGGCAGAATAAACTAGGTAGAATATAAGTTAGAGATAAATTTCAATGTTTGTGAGAGCATAGCAGTGAGTAAACTGTGTTAATTTGATCAGGGAAGTCTCATTGGTATAGATAAGTGTTGAATTGAGTGGGTCGTAGAGAAAACAATGGCTATACATCTGGGACTGAAAGCCATGGATATTTGGGGTAAAGGTAACAATAGGAACAAAGTGGTACAGTTGACCTGTGAGGGGTCTGGGACATCTGGGGAAGGAGAATCCCTCTCCTCCAATGGCAGAGCCACACTCCATTGATACAACGGATATTGTGTGAGGATATGACCTCATTTTCACAATATCCATCAGACATAGTAGGCACAGCAGTTATCATTAATAGAGGCAGATAGATTCTCATATTTGGTCTCTTCATTTAGTGGATACAGCCAGAAAAATCTGATAAGATGCTGGGATAAAGAGCATTCATTTTGACTGGGCACAACATAAGATATTAATCCTAAAAGTGAATGTTTTCTAAGCAAATCTCTGGATTATTATGATGATTGCAGCAACGTCAGCTCTGTACCTCCCACACAAGTAACGATTTTCTCTCTCCACTTCTGTTCCAGCAATATGCGCCCCTACTGGCTGTGTTCAGCTCCCAAGGCCAGTCCGAGCTGATCCTCCTCCAGAAGGTTCAGGAATACTGTTACGACAACATCCACTTCATGAAAGCCTTTCAGAAGATCGTGGTTCTCTTTTATAAAGGTACCCATCCATGCAGTTCCACCACTGTGTTTCTATGTTTTATCGACACTCTTTGAGGGGCAGAGCAGGGCATGAGGAGAGGAGGTCTTGGGGTCCCTGTTTGGCATGGGGGACAGCAAGATGCTAATTTGTGTAAGTTTTGGTGAGAAAACCGTATTTTGTAGCGAGAGAAGGCACACCGCCATATATGTCCGCATCGCCTCAGGAACCATCCAAATTAGGCCCCTGGGCACTTCTTACTGGTAGAAGTTGTCAGAAGACTGGTGGTGAACTGGTTATTGTTTCTTGGGGATAGAGAAAAAATGTGATTATATAAAATCGAGTCTGTTTTTGAAAGGTAAGGATTAGCTCTAATAACAATGATTATCAAAATGCTGTATATATTATGTTCAGACTCTTTTAGGTGCCATAAAGCTGACTTTAAAATTACTGACATAATTAGCCCTTTTTACTTTGTATTTTAGTTATGTGGCCCAGCCATTCTCCTATTTTCCAAGGAAATGGCTATTTTTAGGTTTTCACATTTACTGTCTTTTCATTGTATTTATAAGGATTAGGTTGCCATGACAACTGGCACTAAAAAAATGAATGCTAAAGGTTTTAACTGATCTCAATCTTTATACCCACAGCATATAAAAAATGATCTTGGACTATTTTTTGGTCTAGATTTATATAGTTTTATGAGGGAGATAAAGGAGCACTTAAGAAAATGATACATTTTGAACATTAGAAAATGCTTATTTTAAACATTATTTTATTAATAATGGCATAGTATTCATAAAATATTAAAAAGTATAAATTAATACCAGCCAAATGTTTATTTTCCCTTTGATGTGTTCTTAAATGTGTCTATTTTGAATGTTAACTTGGAAATTTGGAATATAAAAATTTTGCAGTATTAATAGCTATTTTTACAATGTTTAATAGCATTTCAGAATGAATTTTAATTGGCCATATATATTCTTCAAACGCATGCATCTTGTCCACAAGTGTTTGGGCGATACCTTACATTTTCAGAACACTAAGGTATTCCACAGCGATTATTATGCCAGTAGGAGAATACGATGGCTGCCAATTTCCATTTGAAGTTCAGTAATTGGTGTTTTCTCTGGCCAGATCTGAGTTAGGTCTTTTTGGTTTTGGTCATGATATAATAGCATTCTAAACTTAGGGCTCACCAAATGATACCCAAAGTGATCCGTTAGAACCAAACCTGCAGGCCATATTGCCAATCCACATGTGGTACCCAGCAGCCAAGAATGAAAAGCAGGGTCCACGCAGCCAGTAGGCATTCTGTCTACATTTGTCACAGCTGGCTCCACTTGTAAGACTGGTAGAGAGACCTAGGGATGGGTTTGCTTTGAGGGTGCTCACCATTTTCCACTACAGAAAAGCAACCGTTCACAAATGTTACCTGAACACAATTTGCCTTCTTCTCATTTAACAGCTGACTCAACCAACCAGTGTTTCTTACCAGATTTTTTTAAACTGAGACATAGTTGTTTGAGCTTCGTCTACAGGATCACTCCATTTTATTATTGTACTTAATTCACAAAAAAATCAACAAACCATTTGCTATTGGTAATGGCATTTGGGTTGCAGATGACCTTCTAAAATCTTTCTTCAAATTTCTCATTTTAACCGTGAATGCCAACATCTTTCTCCATTATGCTCTATAACAACTACTGACAGGTAGTAAAACTGGCTACTTTTGAGTTTTTTCTTATTCTTCAGCCCCAAATGCTGTGGGACAGTGACCTGAAATTGTAAAATAACCCAACAAGTGGACACAGAGAGTAAAAAGGAAAGAGGCATTAGCTCTTCCTTAGGCCATTCATTAAATAGGTAATCAGCTTCTAAATATTAATAACACAAAGTTAGTAAGGTCTGTGGCAAGTATGAGCAGGCCCACGGGAACACAGGAAGGGTAAGTGTCAACATCAGTTTTATTCCGGCATACTTGTTTTTGGAAATGAAATCAGGAATCTCTTTTAAAAACGGAAACCTAAAATATATCACTGAGATATTTTACGTACCATTTTCTAGGTAATTTTCCACAAAATCATACCTACAGTATGTTTTCCTGGATGAAATAATCACGTTTTCTCTTGAGAGCGTGGAGTCCCTGAAGAATGATTGTTCCACACCCCTGTTAAGAGTGTTACTGTGTTTACGTTATCTCTTTTGCCTGGTTTTTTACTTTGACCTTATTTTGTCCTCCAAACACTTGTGCACCACAGACATGTATTTGATTTGTTTCTATAAGGATCTGGATGCTCTTGTTCTGTATTTTATCTGCCTAGAGAGGCTTGATGAACAGTGAGTTTAAAGCACTCCTTTCCCCACTGGTGTGTGCATAAGTAAGAATCACCTGGAAAGCTTGTTAGAAGAAAGATACCCCGGGGACTCTGATTCAGTAAGTCCAGGGTTGGGCCCGAGAATTTGCATCTTAACAAGCTTCCAGGTGATGCTGTGACTGTTATACCAGGGCCAGAAGGGTATGGCATTCGAGAAGCGACCTAAAATAACATGTTCAAGAATATACGTATTGTTGATTCCATGTATATATACATATTTAACAAACATTGAATAGTGTTTTTCCTGCTTCTTTTATCCAGTGATGTGGATTCTTTTTGTTTATTATAAGGAACATTTTGTTTTAAAGCAGGCTTTTAAAAATGTAATGAAAATCCTTGTTCCTTTTTCATTTTTTTCTCTCTCTCTTACACACACAACACACGCATGTACACACCCCTTCCCCAACATCCCCAGAACTTGAGGATAACAGAAACATGGGGATTTGATTCCCCTGCCCCTTTGGTAAACCTAATTACTCGATTGAATGCCATTTTTGAAAGAATTTTAAATCTTTTATATAAAATTGAAATAAGACTGAGTAAAGTATAAATAATGCTTTTCAGCAAAGAAAAAAGTGGTGATTGGTCATTTTTTCATTTCTGAGACAGTGAGAAATAGTAAATCCATTGCTAACTTTCAAACATCACACTATTGACTTTTTAAAATAATTTCTCTTCCTTCCTAAAGATAAATGTTATAGACTCTGCTAAAAAATAGAAAACTACCTTCTCAGATACTATTATTATCTCTATCATGGGTCTTCTTGTTTACACAATTTTTTTAGGTTAAATTCTGTCCCTCATGCAAATTTTTCTAAAAGAAGTTTCTTAATTCTTGTTCTAAAAAAAGGTGAGTGCCCTTCTCAGCATATATTCCCAGCATTCTTAGGGTAAATTATTTTTGACTCTTGTCCCTGTGTGACATCCTTAATAAAAAAATTCCAAATTTCCTAAGTTCCAAGTGACATAGTTTTAGATTTAACTATCCAAATAACTAACATTATGTAAAGCTTAACAATTCTCAAACTATTTTTACAGTATTGTCTCTTTGATTCTCATGAACTCCCAGATTTTAAATTAGAGCTCTACAAATTGAGAATTATTTAATTTTTCTCATCAAGTTAATACATTTATTCATTATGCACATGTTGAATGCATCCTATATGGCAGGTCTTACATTAAATGCTGGAAATAAGATGAACAAACTGGTCCCTGACTTCTGAATTTCTGAGTATAGAAGAAAGCAAAGAATTATAGAATCACCATGTCAGTTGCTAAAATAAACCTCATAGAGAGGGTGTCAGAAGGGGTAGGACAACAGAGAAAGGCCACCTAACTTACAAGAATGCAACTTTTCACCATTTATCTGATTTTCAGTAGACAATGCATTTGATAGATTTTTACTTGTCATTTCATACCCTTTTCACAAGCATTGTCATCGACAAGGATTCTAGCAGTTGCATGGCCTCCTTTAGCCTCTGTGGGGCAATAAAACACAGGAATGAGCTCTTGTCCTTCAAAAGGAAGCCTCAGACAAATAATATCACTAAACTGCAGTCTAAATCAGCTTTCTGGCCTGTACTTTGTATCACCCTCAATTCATTAAGGTGCAGAGAAAAAAATGAACTTCCCCTTTATATGTTTGTCACATTTTTTAATTCTATGTTTTTGTTTTATAACATTAAGAATAGTTTAATAGTACATGCATATAATTTATAAACTCAAAAATATACATGTTGGGTGTCCATACTCAAAATTGTCCTACTGATAAGGAAGCATGATCAAAACACTTTGATAATTACTGATCTAAGTCATCAGCATCTTAAAGATAATTTATAAATTATATAAAAGGGACTTTTAAAATCCTTATTAATGTTCTAGAAAAATCTCTCTTAGGCAGTCTTGCACAATAACAGGTCACTTCCTCAGGCCACAACTGTGTGCTCCTCACTTCTATGACAATTGGGCTTTGATGGCTAGTGGAAATTTCTTTCATCCTTCTGAGTGGAGGGTGGAGAGCTAAGAACAGAAGGAGCTAAAAACCTAGAAGATAAGAACAGTCCTATAGGACCGCTGATTATAACTCTCATGTCCAGTGCTTTTAAATGAATAAATCCAGACCTCTTCCTTCCTTTGCAAAATGTAGTGTATTTAATGATAAAATAAACAAAATACTTAAATTTTCTAAAACCAATCATGTTCATTTGTAGTCAGTTTAATTTCTTCAATTTAATTCAAGAGCCTTTTCCAAGAATTATTAATTTTTTTAAAAAGGATGGAGAAAAACTTACTGTTTTGGTTATGAAAAGGTCAGTGCTGCTTTAAGTGAAAAAAAAGTTAAATGATTTCTGTCATTTTCATAGGTCAAAATTATATCTTAACTGAAAATACATTATTAGAGATGTGTCAGCCTTGCTTGGATTTGTCAATATTTGCAATGGATTGGACTCACATTGGGAACAATAATAAATGCTTTTTATTTACTGTCTCATTTCCCACTCCAAAATCCTAAAAGACAACCCATTAGAACATTGGCATAGTGTGTAGGCTGTTATTTTCCTTTTCTTAACATTAAATATTCTCAATTAATGCTAACTTGAGAATATCAAGACACACTTGTGGAATTTAGATTTTTAAGTAACGGTTAGCATTTTTTATTAGAAATCTATAGGAACTCTATGTCTCTGTTTTTCTCTTAATGTAGTAGTAGAAAAATATTACTTTTGTAATTTAGGATATTACGCTTTAGGAAAATAAATTAGGTATTTAATGATGGAATAAGTGTAGAACTTTGGCTTATGAATATATTGATTCCATAACATACCCAAGGAGCTCATCTTTATATCTGATTGTTACCATCATTGTTGTATACTGGTCTATATTTTCTTCCCTTTGCCATTTTCTCCTAAAAAAGAAAATCCCCTTAAAAGACCAGTCATTTGAGGTTGCTTCTTAATCAAGATATGATTGAACTTGGCAGGACATAGAGTATTCTGAAATGCTGGAATTGCTGATTCATTTGCAAAATCATAAAGTAACTCTGCTTTCTACCAGCAAATTAGCACTGTAAGAGATGTCCAAGTTTCAGCAGTGTGACCTATAGGCTTGCATTATATCATGCCTGATGATGTATGTCATCATCATCACTGAAGCCTATATTTAGCTCACTGTCAAAATATGGCATTGTGCTACATGGAAATGAGCTTGGTTCCTTTCTTTTGATAAGTTTCAGATATAGATTTCTTTTATCATAGAGTGTTTAATATGAAAAAGATTACTTTGTATTAAAGTATAAAACATGAAGTTGTTTTAAAACGTGACATTTGTATAGTAACTTGAAATCTTTGCTTTGAAATTGCAGCTGATGTTCTAAGTGAAGAAGCAATATTGAAATGGTATAAAGAAGCACACGTTGCTAAAGGCAAAAGCGTTTTTCTTGATCAGATGAAGAAATTTGTTGAGTGGTTACAAAATGCAGAAGAAGGTATGATCCCATTTAACAACTTTGATGGTCATTAAACAAATACTTTCTCATGATACTTCAAAATATTTACCTCTTAGCAAGATTTTTCTTGCTGTCTTAAGTTCTTGAGGTACCTTTCACATCAAACATTTTGCCTACATCTTAGCCCTCCTTTCTAAATCAAAGCAATAAAAATTTCTACATGGTTTTAAAAATAAAAAACTTAAATTATCCACCCTAATGGAAGACAACAAGGAAGAAACAATCAGCAAATGTGAAAAGAAAAAAA